CGGACAGCCGCGGCGGCCGAGGAAGGGCTGGAGCCCCGGGCGCTGCAGTACGAGCAGACCCTGGTAAGTGAAGCCGGGCTGAGCCCTGAGGAATGCGCCCTGGGACCGCCGCTCCAGGTTACCTAGAAAGCTCCAGGACCAGGGGTCTACCCTCACCCTGCCCCAGCCTTCCGAGCCGGGGAAAGGTGCAGGGCCGAAGGGATGGGAAGCTGCGTGCTGAGGCTGGGAGCCCGCAGAGGACAAGGGCACCAGGTGCTGATCTCAGGTGTCCTTCCCTTCAACACCCCCTCTGCCTCCCCCCACGTTTCCTTTGCTCCTCCCCCTCCCCACCTGGGTCCAAGTCTCAGCACCCCTTCCCATTCCCCAGCACCATGCCCACCCTAAACTTTAACACACGTCTGTCTCCACCACCCGAGACGCCCTGTGTCCCTGCCATGTACACGGCACTGTAGCAGGGACAGCAGCAAGAGCGTGCAGAGAGAGGGGCAGACCCAAAGCCCCAGCCCTGCCTCTGAGGCTCCAAGCCCAGCACTGTCAGGAAGCCCTCAGCTGATTCTGGGGGAACAGGTGGCCTGCACCCCGGGGAACCACAGCTTTGGGGAGGATGGCTCAAGCAGGAACAGGTGTGGGAATTGGGACGTTGTCCATGCAGACTGTGGGTATCCAGTCCCCACCCACCCAGGGGTGTCCCTTGACCTCATTAGTAACAGGGGTCCTGGGCTCTGAGCTGGCTCACGGTCACCACTGTCACGTCGAGTTTGAGAAGCCATCTGACTTCTCATGGGGGGTTGGGGGAGCCCAGGCCAAGCAAAAGGAACAGGGCTCTGAGGCTGGTTTTCCTGACCAGGGTCGGAATTTGCCCAGGAACGAGGCAGGGAGGAGACCTGTGGGGAGAGGCCTGCGCCCCTGTGCCCTAACAGTCGCCCCTGTGCCTGCCAGTTACAAGAGAGTGACAGGATGGAATAGGTGCAAGGAGAGGTGGTCAGAGTTGGGGCAGAGCAGAGGTAAAGGGGTGAGCCCAGCCAGTCAGTGGGGCCAGTCGGTGGCGCAGTGAAGACAGCTGGACGCTGGATCCCGCATGGTCAGCTGTGCAGTCCCAGTCCCAGACCCGGAGCCTGAGAATCACGCTGGGTGTGTGCACTGGGTGTGTGCCGGAGTGGAGCCCAAAGCCCCAGGAGGGGAATGGAGGAGAAAGGACTGTGGCGGTCACCCCCCACCACCCAGGTTGATTTCTCCTTCCCCCTCTCTCTCCCATCTGTCTGTCTCAGCACATGTGCCCTAGAGCATAAACTAAAATAAAGGAAAAAGGGGTTAAAGAGACAAGCCCTCGGGTTAGGGTGGGTGCTGCCTGTCAGTCCACACACCCCACAGTAGGTTGGTCAAGGGAGCCAGGCACCTCGCCCTGCAGTGGTGTCTCACTGCAGCCTCATCTCTGTCTCCTCGCCTCTGGTCTTTATCTCTGGAATGAGCTCCAGGAGTTCTCAGGGTCACACTCTCCCCGGCACGCCCTGCTCCTGCCTCTCCCCTTCTCCTATCCCTTTGTCTCTCAGGCTTGCAGCACCCCTCCTACACCGTCTGCCTCTGCACGTCTACTCTCTTCTTCCTCTCATCTTTCTGTTCTCTGCCCTGCCCCTTGCCTCTCTTTCCTCTCTTCCCCGCGTCCTCTTCTCCTGCGGCTCCCTTTCCTCATTCTCTATCTCTCACCCTTTCTGTCTCTATCTCCCCCTCCCTCCCCCCCACCCCAGTCCCAACCGGAGCCCTTTGTGTCTGGAAGCTCTGCGCCGGAATCCACTCCTCCCCACCCCCCAACACACGCCCAGCTTGGCAGGTCTATGCTAGGCGACTCTCCGGTCCCATCACCCAGCGCCACAGTCTCAGCCCAGTCACCCACAGCCTCTGTCCCCAGCGCCGCAGGGCTCAGGGCAGGTCCAGCGTGGGGCCGAGGCCACTGAGCACTGCCCACCTACCTGGGAGTGGCTTTCCACTCCCAGCTGGGCTGGCAGACTGGTGGGGGTGCGGGTGGAAATGGGGACAAGAGGATTAGGGTGGGTGGGAGGGGTGTAGCTGAGTTGGTCACAGGCCAGAGGCCCAGCAGGAACGTGATAAGGATTGGGGCCGCGCCTGCTCCCAGGCCCGACTCAGCCCGAGCTCCAGGGCCTCTTATTGTTGCCGGCATGCCCTTGACCATCCCTATTCTCCGACCTGCCCTCCTCCCACTTGCAGACCAGCCTTGGGTTTTCCCTCTTCCTTCTCTGAGGCCTTCCCTCCGACTCCTCCTCAGTGCCCCCGCCCAGGCCTGTGAGAAGAGGACCAATTATTCTGCCACCCTCACAGCTGTGCCCGTACCTTGGCTGGCCCCGCTGCCCCAGCCAGGACAGCCCCCATAGTTTGCAGCGTGCATTGTTCCCACACCATGGCTAGAGTGGGGACTGTGGGCTGAAGAGAGGGTATTTGATGAGGGGCCGAGGGAGGGACGTCCAGCCCCAGGAGCACCCCTCCATGCATCTCTCCTCCATCCACAACCACTGAGGCCCCCCTCTCCCCGCTGCTCTAGATGTATGGCCGGTATACTCAGGATCTCGGGGCCTTTGCCAAAGAGGAAGCAGCTCGGATTCGCCTGGGGGGGCCTGAGCACTGGAAAGCCCCCCCTTCCCCTCGGGCTCCCCCAGAGCTCCTGGAGTATGGACAGAGCCGTTGTGCCCGATGCCGCAGTGAGACCTGGGTTGGGGTAGTGGGGCAGAGGGCACTGGAGCTGCCGATGGGGTGGGAGAAGGCAGGTAACGGGCCGGAGCACTGGGGGCCAGCCCCCCCACTCTTTATTCCTGCTCCCAGTCTGCTCAGTACGCTGCCACAAGTTCCTGGTGTCCAGGGTTGGCGAAGACTGGATCTTCCTGGTCCTGCTGGGGCTCCTCATGGCACTGGTCAGCTGGGCCATGGACTACGCCATCGCGGCCTGTCTGCAGGGTGAGGGCAGGCGGGCAGGGCAGGACTGCGAGAACCAGCCTGCATCCTCCGTGCCACATGTGTCCGGCCATCATGGCTGCCAGGCCACGGGCTGTTCTCCCTGAGTTTCCCAGACACCTGCCCATCACTCCCACAGGCCAGTGTCCTGTGTCCCTCTCCAGCTGACCCTTACCTAGCTAGAGTGGCCTTTGTCCCAGTGAATGCCCTTGAGGGCCTCCTCCCATTCCCATGTTCAGGCTCCATGCAGTAGTCCCGGGACAGCCTGTCGCCCATGGGTCCCCATGGCCAGGCGGGGAGTGGCAGGGAGTGGCGGGGAGTGGGCGCGCGCAGGGGCAGGTGCAGCAGCAGGTCCCCTCTCCACAGCTCAACAGTGGATGTCCCGGGGCTTGAACACCAGCATCCTGCTCCAGTACCTGGCCTGGGTCACCTACCCCGTCGTCCTCATCACTTTCTCAGCCGGATTCACACAGATCCTGGCCCCTCAGGCTGTCGGTACAACAGGAGAGACCGGAAGGGCAGAGGGGGGCCTCGGAAGTGAGTCCCTGACGTGACCGTCTTGGCTCTGTGCCCCCAGGGTCCGGCATCCCTGAGATGAAGACCATCCTGCGGGGAGTGGTGCTAAAAGAGTACCTCACTCTCAAGACCTTCGTCGCTAAGGTCATCGGGCTAACCTGTGCCCTGGGCAGCGGGATGCCCCTCGGCAAAGAGGTAGCTGCAGGCCGGGGACAGGTGCGGGTGCGGGGAGGCCGGGCAGCCGCTCACCAGCGCCCCATCCCCAGGGCCCGTTCGTGCACATCGCCAGCATGTGTGCCGCCCTGCTCAGCAAGTTCCTCTCCCTCTTCGGGGGCATCTACGAGGTACGGAGGTACCAGGCGGAGGGGAGGGAGGGGGCCGAGCCCTGGCGGACCCTGCAGCCTCACTGTCCTTGCCGCCCCTGGCCAGAACGAGTCCCGGAACACGGAGATGCTGGCCGCCGCCTGCGCTGTGGGAGTGGGCTGCTGCTTCGCGGCGCCCATTGGAGGTAGGCAGGCTCCCCGCCCTGCCCTCGGCCTCTGCCCCTCTGCCCTTCTCTGGCCTGAGGCGGAAGCCTCAAATGCCGCCCCCACAGGTGTCCTGTTCAGCATCGAGGTCACCTCCACCTTCTTCGCGGTGCGCAACTACTGGCGTGGCTTCTTTGCGGCCACCTTCAGCGCCTTCATCTTCCGGGTCTTGGCAGTCTGGAACCGCGACGAAGGTGGGCCCGGGTCGGGGAGCCTGCGGTGGTCTGGCTGGAGGGCTCACGCTGACCACCGCCCCGCTGTCTGCCCCTCAGAGACCATTACAGCTCTCTTCAAAACCCGATTCCGCCTCGACTTCCCCTTCGACCTGCAGGAGCTGCCAGCCTTTGCTGTCATCGGGTGAGGACCGAGGGGTGCGGGGTGTCAGAGATGGGAGCTTCCTCCAGGAGACCCCCTTTCACCTGCTGCTTCTTCCCTCTCCAGTATTGCTAGTGGCTTCGGGGGCGCCCTTTTCGTCTACCTGAATCGGAAGATTGTCCAGGTGATGCGCAAGCAGAAGACCATCAATCGCTTCCTCATGAGGAAGTGAGTTTGCCCTAGGCTTCCCGCCAGCAGCTTTGGGTTCCCAGGTCCGGAATGGGCTGGGGTCAGACAGGCGCTGCAGCTCGCCGGTATCAGCCAGTGGCGACCCGGCCCACTGGACAGTTCCATGTTTATATGGCTCACCTGGAAACTGACTCTTTTTTTTGGGGGGGGGGAGATTTTCACTATAGGGCGCATGCGCTCGCCAGACAGAGACATAGAGACAGAAAGCGAGAAATCACCCCCTAGGGGGTTTGGCCATGCTGCAATCCATTCTCCTCTCGGGATCTTGGGCACGCATGCACACGCGCCTGGCGTGAGTTGTAAGCCACCGGGTCCAGGACGCGAACCGCGGTCGACTACGTGGGAGTCCAGCGACATACATAACCATTATGCTAACTGCTGGTTCCCGAAACTGGCCCTTCTGAATTGTTACCCCGGGGCAGAGAGCCATTGGGGTGAAAGGCTCAGGCTCCCTGAGGTTCTCTGGCCTGGCGCGGGTAGCAGTCCTCCCTGGAGACTGTTTTTTATTTTTTAGAGGTTTTTGCCATAGGACATATGCACTCACCCGAGAGAGAGACAGTGAGATGGAAAGAGAGAAATCACCCCTGGGGGATGGCCGTGCCACAATCCCTTCTCCTCCATTCTCTTCCTGGGATCTTGGGCGGACATGCATGCACATGTGCCCAGCCTGAGTTTCAAGCACCAGGTCCAGGACTCAAACCGTGGTTGACCATGTAGGGGTCCAGCAACGTAATTTCTACGCCACATGCTGGCCCCCTGGAGAGTGTTGTTTCCCCTCGTGACCGTGAAGAAGCTGGAATTTATTTTTAATTGCCAGAAGACACAGCCACTCACTAGAGAGAACAGAGAGGGAGAAGGAGAAATCCACCCTACGGGGCATGGTCACACCACAGTCCCAAACCCTCCCTTCCCCATCCTGTTGGGACCCGAGGCATGCCTGCACATGCAAACACACTGTGTTTTCCAAGCCACAGGCTGGGATTTGAACCACTGTCGACCATGTGGGAGCCAGCTCCCAGGGATGTTTCCATATCTGGGATACAGCTCTCTTACCGGTGAACCTGGGGGCTGGCAGTGGGAGGCTGGAGACGTGAGTCCTCTGAGACCCGCGCCCTTCGGGGAGAGGGCAGCACCTGCCCCCGCAGCACTGTGGTCAACTGCAGGCGTGCCCGCCTCCCAGCACTAACCTCCACGCTGAGTCACCACAGAGTGACGGTCACGGGCAGACGCTTCTCCACCCTCACACAGTGCACCCTCTGCTGGGGCTGCCCAGGGTGGAGTCCCAGCTCAAAGGAGTAGGGGGCTGAACTTTCCTGCAGCTACCACCCATTTGTGGCTGAGGCCTTTGGGTCATACCGCCCGGCCCTTATAACCCAAGTCTGCCATGGCCCTGGGCACTGCCGTAGTGTAAACAGCAGAGGGGCCTTCTCCCCGGACTATGTGCTTCCCTATTAGAGCCTCGCTCTGTGCTGACCTCAGCTCTGAGGTACGTGAGGGCACCAGCCCATCGCCAGCCCACGGGGGGTGCCGCCCGGGCTGATGCCACGAAACCTCCATCTCTAGACGCCTGCTCTTCCCAGCCCTGGTGACCCTGCTCATCTCCACTCTGACCTTCCCCCCGGGCTTTGGACAGTTCATGGCTGGACAGGTAACCCGTGTGAGCGGGAGCTGCGCGTTCCCTCGGGACAGGCCTGCCCCGGTGCCCACAGCCCAGCGTGACCGCAGGCCTGCCCTCCGTCTCTGTCCCCCAGCTCTCACAGAAGGAGACGCTGGTCACCCTGTTTGACAACCGGACGTGGGTCCGCCAGGGCCTGGTGGAAGAGCTGGAACCACCGGGCACATCACAGGCGTGGAGCCCCCCACGCGCCAACGTCTTCCTCACGCTGGTCATCTTCATTCTCATGAAGGTGAGCTCCCGGCGAGCGTAGCGTGAGCATCCATGGCCTCACCAGGCGCCACGCATGCTGTTCCGAGCACTCATGCTGGGTAACTCCTCTGCACCTCACAGTGCTGGGAGACAGCTACTGTGGCTTTCTTGTTTTAACAGACAGGCCGTCAGAGCTCGGGGGTTAAGTAATTGCCCCAGGTCACTCAGCTCCCTGGTGGAGGATTTGAACCCAAGCCACCTGGTTCCAGAGTCCTACCTCTTCTCTCACCTCCGGGGGGCTGGGCTAGCTGGGACCTTGAACCTGACAGAAAAGCAAGGGGGGCCCTGCTGGCGGGGCTGCGGGGCTGGCGACTGCCAGGGCCAGGGGGCAACTCTGCCCGTTAAACGGCCCTCCTGTAGTTCTGGATGTCAGCGCTGGCTACCACCATCCCGGTGCCCTGCGGGGCCTTCATGCCTGTCTTCGTCATTGGTGAGTTCTCAGCCGCCCCCTCCAGCCTTGGCCTGAGCCCCCACCCGCGCAGAGCTGTCCCCTACTCTGAATGACCCACCGGCCCCTCCCCACCCTCTGACCCTCTCTCTTCCTACTGCCCCCGCCCTCCCCCCCCACTGCCTCTTTCTCTTCCCGCCCCCCTCCTTGAAGGAGCGGCGTTTGGGCGTCTGGTGGGCGAAAGCATGGCCGCCTGGTTCCCAGATGGGATTCACACGGACAGCAGCACCTACCGCATCGTGCCTGGGGGCTACGCCGTGGTTGGTGAGTGTCCCTGGAAGACCCCGCGTGGGCCACTGAGGCTCTGGCGCCCCCTGCTGGCAGAAACCACAGCTGCAGAGGCCCAATCCCTGGCCGGTCAGGGCAGCCCTGGAGGACCTCACTGGCTGCCCCAGGTGGGGAGGGTCTCCTGGAGCCTGAGCACTGTGCAGATTCTGCGGGTGGTTGTCCCCAGGGGCGGCGGCACTGGCGGGAGCAGTGACGCACACGGTGTCCACCGCGGTGATCGTGTTCGAGCTCACGGGCCAGATCGCGCACATCCTGCCGGTCATGATCGCCGTCATCCTGGCCAACGCCGTGGCCCAGAGCCTGCAACCCTCACTGTACGACAGCATCATCCGCATCAAGAAGCTGCCCTACCTGCCGGAGCTCGGCTGGGGCCGCCACCAGTACGGAGGCCGGTGACACGGCGCGGGTTTGGGGTAGAGACCCAGGAGGCCTGGCGCCCACATTCAGCACGGTCTGAGCTGTCTCGAAGACAGGCCGCCTCGTCCGGGTCAGAACTGCCCGCCGCTCCCTCTCCCCCAGCGGTCGCTGGCCCAGCTGCCCAGAAGGAAATGGGCGCACTCCTCGGCCCTTGCTGCTCTCCTGTCCCCTGGCTCCGGGACCTTCCTGACCGCCCTGGGATGGTAGTGCCGGTCAGTTCTCACGTGCTGGTCACGAGCCAGGTCCCCTCTGTCCCAGGCAGTACCGGGTACGAGTGGAAGACATTATGGTGAGGGATGTTCCCTACGCAGCCCTGGGCTGCACCTTCCGAGACCTGCGGCTGGCACTGCACAGGACCAAGGGCCGCATGCTGGCCCTCGTGGAGTCCCCTGGTAAGGCCAGAGGGCCCAGACGCTCGGGGCCTCTCCCAGCGTGGTGTCGCAGGGAGGGGCAGAGAGCTCCATGCCTTGGCTGCAGAGGGAAGGCCGGCACTCGCCCGCGGTCGCCCTGTGTGGCTGTGCATGGAGCCCCTGGGGTGTGAGCCAAGGCGTGGGACACGGGCACCAGCACGACTCCTGAGCCCGCCCACTGCCCTCCAGAGTCCATGATCCTCCTGGGCTCCATCGAGCGCTCGCAGGTGGTGGCGTTGCTGGCGGCCCAGCTGAGCCCAGCCCGCCGCCGACAGCACATGCGCGAACGGAGAGCTGCCCAGGCCTCGCCGCCATCCGATCAGGAGAGTCCGCCCAGCCCCGAGCCGTCCGTGCGATTCCAGGTGAGGGGAGAAAGCCCTTTCGCTGGCGCAGTGCAGCCAGCCGGGAGGCGGTACAGAGGGTGGCCTCATCGCGCCTTCATGCCCACGCAGGTGAACACAGAGGACGCGGGCTTCCCCGCAACCCCTGGGGAGGCTCACAAGCCCCTAAAGCCTGCTCTCAAGAGGGGGCCCAGCAACCCCATGAGCCTCAGGGAGAGCCCCACAGGTGAGCCCTCCCTCCCCTGTCCCCAGAGCCTCTGAGGTCCTTGGGTCCTCTCTGCCCTCGTGCTGGAGCAGGCCAGCTGGAACCAGATGGCCTCTCCCCTTGCCTCTCACCTCTCTGGTCCCTTCCCCCAAAGATGACAGTCCTGGCCCCCTCGGGCCTTGTGTTTGGGAACACAGGGAGCGTGGAGTCCGCGGGCATCGCCCTCAGGAGCCTCTTCTGTGGCAGTCCACCTCCTGAGGCTGCTTCCGAGGTGAGTGGCTGGCGCCTATCCCAGCTGACCCTCCTCTCTGAGGCTGAGGCCCTCTCCCTCCTCCCTGCCCCCGCCACCCTCTAGCCAGCTCTAGCCCCAGTGTGACCACCTCCTGGCTCACGATGCCCTCTCCTCCACTCTCCCTGCGACCTCGACTCTCCTCTCTGGTTCGGCTCTAACAAAGTTGGAGAAGTCAGAGTCCTGTGACAAGCGCAAGCTGAAGCGCGTCCGCATCTCCCTGGCGGTGAGTACACCCCCTTCCCTGCAGCTCGGGAGGAGGGCCAGGGAGGGCCAGGTGGAGGCTGGGTGCATTCCCCAGGGCTGGGTCCACCTCCCTCCCTCCCTCTCTCCTAGAGTGACTCGGACCTGGAAGGCGAGATGAGCCCCGAGGAGGTAAGGTGCCACTGGACTCTGGACCCTGTCCTTCCTGGGTGTGTCCAGCCATCATCTTGGCTGCTGTCCCCATGGCAGGGCCCATGGGGCAGGGAGAGGGGCAGGACGTTTCTGGGAGGAGAGCAGCTGCACTCTGCCGGCCTCCCCTGACGCCCGGCTGCCCCTCAGGTCCTGGAGTGGGAGGAGCAGCAGCTGGACGAGCTGGTCAACTTCAGTGACTGCAAGATCGACCCCGCCCCCTTCCAGCTGGTGGAGAGGACCTCTTTGCACAAGGTAGGGCCCGCGGCTGCCCGGCTGGCCCGGGCTCTCAGACAGGCTGGGGACCTGCGTCCCCCAGTACATGGAGACTCCAGCCAGCGGGGAAGGAAGGAGGAGAAGGTGGGCTCTGTGCTGGGGTCAGGGCACCTCTCCCTGCTCTGGTGGAACCAGCGTCATTTTCCCTCTGCTCAGCCCTGCCCCCAGCGAACACTGGAGCAAAGCAGCAACAAAGGCAGGGCTGGAGCTGGGAGGGAGCCAGAAGGCCAGGCTGGGGTCAGAGCTAGGCAGGAGGCTGCCAGAGCCCGACAAGGCTGATCACCCACGCGGAGACAGTGAGAAACAGGCAGGATGGGAACATCTAGTAAACAAGCTAACGAGCACCCAAGCAGTGTGGGGACAGCGCAGAGATGAGCTAAACAAAAACGAGAGACAGCCAGTGGGGGCCGTGGAATGTCAGGCCCCGGGGAGGCTGCCTTCGTGTGGGCCAAAGGCAACTGCTGGGGACACGGGAAGATGGCCCAACCTGCAGGCAAATGCCTGCAGAGGTGGGAAAGGAACTGGGTGCAGACAGGTTGGCATGGGTGCTGCAGACACTGTGGGAATGTAGGAGCTCGGGCTCCCGAGGGTGGACAGCTGGTGTCATCAGGCACCACCAGGCCTCCACGTGCAAGCCCGGCAGGGTGCTGGGGCAGCTCCTAGGGCAAGGGGTGTTTTAGCCAAATGCCAACAGACCTAGGGTGCAGGCTGGAGTGTGTTGGGGGGAGTGCGCAGCACTGCCAGGGCCTGTAGCCCGGGCACCTAGCTCTGCACAAGCAGCATCTAAGAGCAGCATGGCATGAACAAGGAGAGCCCGAGGCAGGAAGGGCAGGAGACAAAAGAGAAGCAAAAACACAAAAGGTAAGAAGGGGATTTACCTGCCTTTGGGTAAACATCTCAGATCGAAGTGACTAGGGAACAGCAGTGCAGTTGTGAGGAAAAGCAGAGAGGTAGACCTGAACATGATGAGGGTTTATTTAAAGCCTTTTCCCTCAGACCCCTAAAGCTTTTGCACAGTGATTGATCATCTGGGTTTTTTTGGGGTTTTTTTTTTTTTGAGAGGTTTTTGCTATAGGGTGCGTGCGCTCGCCAGAAAGACAGAGAGAGACAGAGAGACAGAAAGCAAGAATATCCCCAGGGGGGATGGCCACACCGCAATCCCTTCTCCTCCATTCTCCTCTCGGGATCTTGGGCACGCATGCACACGCGCCCGGTGTGAGTTTTAAGCCACCGGGTCCGGGACTCGAACCGCGGTCGACTACATGGGAGTCCAGCAACATAGCCATTACGCTAACTGCTGGTCCCATCTTTTTTAAAAATTATTTTATTGAACTTTATTTTATTTATTTATTTTCAAAGAATTATTTTATTTATTATTTTTTTCATGTGAGTTTTGCCAGAGAAAGAGAGAAAGAGTGAGAAAGCAAGCCGCCAGGTCCAGGACTGAAACGGCTGTCAGCCATGTGGGAATTCCAGTGCCTTAACCACCACACCACCTGCTGGCCCCCTATTTTATTTATTTATTTTAATTTGACCAGAGAGAGCGTGGGATGAGGCAGGGGGAGTGAGAAAGCAAGCTGCCAGGTCCGGGACTTGAACTGTGGTTGGCCAAGTGGGAGTCTGGTGTTCTCAACCACCATGTTACTTACTGGCCTCTCGATCATCTTTCTTTTTTTAAAAAAAGAATTATTTAACTTTGTATTTATTCATTTATTTATTTATTTTAATTGGACCAGAAAGATAGAATGAGTAAGAGAGTGAAAGCAAGCCACCAGATCCAGGACTCAAACCATGGCTGACCATGTGGGAGTCCAGCGTCCCTAACCACCATGCCACCTGCTGGCCCCCCATGATCATCTTCCTTAATCCTCGAATCCAGAATGATGATGCTGCTGCTTTCATTTCTTGAGTGTGTGCTATGTGTCAGGCACTGTGCTAGGCTCTTCACATGTTTAATACAACCATACTGTAAGGTAGATATTGTGATAGTCTCATTTTTAAAGATTAGGATTTTTTTTTTAATTTTCAGATTTTTTTATATTATTTTATTCATGTATTTTATTTTGGCCAGAGAGAGACACACACACACACAAAGAGAGAGAGATGGAAAGTGAGAACGCAAGCCACCGGGTGCAGAACTTGAACCATGGTCACCCACGTGGGAGTGCCCAGCACCTTAACCACCATGTCACCTGCTGGTCCCCAATTAGGAAATTTTTTTAAGAATTATTTTATTTATCTTCATTTTTTTTAATTTATTTTAATTTGACCAGAGACAGAAAGTGAGAAAGCAAGCTAGCAGATCTGGAACTCAAACTGCGGTCAGCCATGTGGGAGTCCAGTGCCCTTAACTACCACGCCACCTGCCAGCCGCTGAGATGAGAAAATTAAGATTCAGAGAGGTTAAGTAAGTTGCCCAAAGTCACACAGCTGGCAAGTAGCAGAGCCAGGTCTGGAATCCAAGATGTTCTGACTTGAAAGACTGTGGTCTGGGCCCTTTTCATACATAGGGAAACTGAGGCATGCAGTGAGGAGGCCATTTGCCCCAGGCAGCAGAGCAGTCAGGCCCACAGCCCAGATCTGCTGGCCCTGCTCCCAGGATTCTTGGAGAAGGCCACATTGTCCTTTTCCTTGTCAGTTCACTGTTCCCAAGTCTAAGACGTGCAGGCCCTCCAGTGGGCTCCCTGGTGTCTAATTAAATTAAAATGAAAGAGAACAAAGTAGGTGTTTGTTACAAACTTAAAAATCAGAGGAGAGAAGAAGCCTTTGAGAGACCGGCTAACAAAAGTACAGGAAACAGAGTGATAAGAACATGAAAGTTTAGAATTCAAAATGTCCTTGTGGGTCTGCGGAACTGGTAAGTGTTCACCGGTTAAGTTCAGGAGGGGACATACAGGAGAGAGAGCACGCGGAGCTCAGTACCAGCGAAGCTCCGCATCACCCAAGGCCACCTCCGTCCTCAGTAGGCCGCTCCTTGGCTAGCGGTGTCACCTTGGCAAGTTTCTTAGCTTCTCTGTGCCTCGTTTCCTGTACCTCCTCGGGTTTTCTGGGGGTAGAAGGACTAGGACATCTGAAGCACGTACAGAGGTCCCTGACACAGGAAGCATTCAGTGTAAGGGAGGGACAATGATGACGACTTACACTGAGGGAACAGGGGACTTCAAAGATGGGGAGCCAGCAGCAGGTGTGGTGGTGAAGGCGCTGGATCCCACATGACCAGCTGTGGTTCCAGTCCCGGACCTGGCAGCTTGAAAAACGCACCGGGAATGCGTGCAACCTCAGAAACCCAAGAGAAGGTATTGTGGCATGGCCAACGTCCCCTGGGGAATAATTTCCCACTTTCCCCCTTTCTGTCTCTCTCCAGCAAGTACATGTGCTCTATAGAAAAAAATCTTTATTGAAAAAAGAATTATTTTATTTGACCAGGGAAAAAGTGAGGAAACAAGCCGCCAGGTGTGGGGCTTAAACCACAGTCGGCCATGTAAGAGTCCAGTGCCTCAGCCACCGCACCCCCTGCCGACCCTCTTATGACCAAAATCTTAAAAAAAGGAGAGAGAGAGAGATGGGGGCCGACAGGTGGCACGGTGGTTAAAGGCACTGGATTCCCACATGGCCCACTGCGGTTGCTTCCTTGCTCTCCCTTTCTCTCTGTCTCTGGTCAAATTAAATAATAATAATGAAATTAAATAAATAGTTCTTTAAGAAAAAAAAAAAAAGATGGTATTGAGGGAAGTCCTGAAGTGTGGAAGAAACACATGTTTTCAGAAAAAGAAGAGTGATGATCTTAGGCGGAAGCTGGGTGCACAGTGGGACCTGAGTCTGGGAACAGGCTGGCGTCGGCTTAGGAAGGATCTCATGGTCTGTTCCAGGGAGGCTGAGCTCTTCCACCTTGAGAAAGACCACGGCAGAGGCCACCTGGAGGGGAGGGCCGGGAAGGGGAGCCAGAGGTGGGCGAACACGGGCTGCCGCACCACCGTCCTGGTGAGGCTGCTGACGCAGGAGTCGGGAGAACGGCAGGGCGTTCGGGAAGGAGGCTGGTAAGGCTGGGAGGCTGCCACCGAGTGGCTTCACACCTCAAAGGCGTACAGCCTGACGGAGGCTCACTCCCAGTGGGACTGTGGGGAAGAGCCCAGGGGGCCTACTTCACAGGCTCCTGGGAGAAGATGAGAGGGCGTGTTTAACCATAATTTCTGGAGGCAGGGGAAGAGATGAGGAGGACAGGACGCTCCCCTCTCAAGACAGCTGAGGCGATTAAAGCTACTTGCCACAGGCGGGTCCGTGTTAGATAGGAGGAACTTGCTAGTGACCGCCAGGCAGTTGTGGGTACAGAAGGAATGCAGAAGGGCTTACGTCTCCCCTTTTCTCTAAGTACTGCCATGCCTGGGGTGGAGAAAGTTAGGAGAGTTCTGGGAATTCCTTCCTCAAGAATATTAAATGGGGGGGGGGGGGGGAACCAGCAGTTAGCATAATGGCTATGTCGCTGGACTCCCCCGTAGTTGA